ATAAATAAAGTAGAGGTTAGAGAGAGAATTCTCTTTTCATTTCTAAGTGGTAGAATACAGATTCCGAACCATTGTAGGTGTCTTTTAAGTTTCTTTCTTTTTTTTTTTTTTTTTTTTTTGGGGATTGAACTCAGGTCCTTATGTTTGCCAGGCAAGCATTTATTCCACTGAGCCATCTCCCCGGCCCTCTTTTAAGTTTCAAATGTATTTTTTAATCTTTTTTTTATTTAAAATATAGCCTGTATACATTTTTTAAAGGGGTAGAAAAACACGGATGTGAATATTGCAAGTCCACAAACTTGTCTGCAGCAGAGATGCTATGTTGCCTGCGCAGTCCGTTCTCCTTGCCTCCGCCCTGCCTGTCTGCCTACAGAAAGAAGCGCCCAGCCTTGCTCAGGTCACTGTGTGACTTGATGTCTCACGTGGCCTTTCCTGAGACATTCCCTACCTTCCAGGGTGGCAGCAAACGACCCTTTAGAGCACGGTGGGGTGTCACAGCCAGCAGCCTGAGCGGAGGTGCTGGCTACAGCCTTACCGGGCTCCACTGCATCTGCAGGGAACTCTCCTAGCAATGAGGCTGAAGAAGAAGGAAGAGGGCATTGGACCAAGGAGTGTTGAAAGCTTCTGCTTGCGTGTGACATGTGTCGCTGTCGCATCCTGTTGATCCAAGCAAGCCACGCGGCTAACTGTAGTCATTGGTGGGGAAAGACCTACAGGCAAGGTCCTGCTCAGTGCCAGGAAAGGCTGCAAGCAGAGCTGGGGATGTAGCTCAGCGGTACGCGCCTGCCTGGCAAGGGTGAGGCCCTGAAAAGGGCCGGAAGCATTCAGCCCTAGTTCCTAGTCTGCCGCCGTGCTAATTCCCTTTCAGCATCAGGCAGAATTTGAAGTGCTTGCCAAGTGAGACTGGAGAGCACGTGTCCTTGAGGCTGTGAGAAAGACCAGGAGAGGTGTGTTGGGTACACGCTGCACACTGGGAGACTAGGCTCGCCCCAGGGTTTGAAGGTGTGCCCCACATTCCTGTAGGAGTTGCTCACAGCTTTCCACCTGAGCCTCTCTGGTGGCGGGGCCACAGGCCTGACGCACTGGCCCCCACATTAAATGCTGCTGGTGCCCTCTGAGTTGTAGTCTGGCAGCTTACCTGGTCTTGTGCCAAGGAAGAATCTTGTGCCAGAAGGTGTGAACCCTAAGGGCCCAGGGTATAGCTGAGTAGCACAGCGCCTGCCCAGCAAGTGTGAGGTGGTGAGTTCATTTCCTGTTAACCCCATGCCACCCCAGTGTTTGGGAAGGCTGAATCCTGCAGGCTCACATTTCATTTAACTCATCCGAGGTCCATTCCATCATGGTTGTTTCCCTGAGCGCTAACTGCTACATATGACTACTTGTTACAACGACTAAACTTTAAAAATGGCTTCTACATCATTTGTAGTCTTATTTTTCACCAGTAGTTTTTTTTTCCCCTTCAATGTTTTCTGATAGGTTTCCCTTGTACTATGAGCTGAAGATTGCTTTTGTCTTATGGCTACTCTGCCCTCATACCAAAGGAGCAAGTTTAATATATAAAAAGTTCCTTCATCCACTTCTTTCTTCAAAAGAAAGGGTAAGACATATAAATTATTTCATAAATCATTGTTTAGAAATGTGTGTTGATATATGCATTGTATTATGAAGCTACTATACAGGAAGAAAGTCCTACTTTTTGGCTTCTTAACATTGTGTATAACACAGTTAACCCCTCTGGTTGTTTTTATGTTTGTTTGCACAGGAAATTGATGATTACATTGTACAAGCCAAGGAGCGAGGCTATGAGACTATGGTAAACTTTGGGCGACAAGGTCTAAACTTAGCAGCTACTGCTGCTGTCACCGCAGCAGTGAAGGTAATCTGCATTTATCTTTTTTAAATCTACTGTCACATTAAACCTACAGATTAAAAAAAGGGTGGCTTTGTTTCAGACCATTATAAAATGATGGTAGGCATTTGCATGATGTGTACTCTATATTGGCATGATAGTTTTACAGGTATTTTAACATTATGCTTTTCATAAATATTCAGTACTTTAAAACTCTTAGTTGATGGCAAAATAAGAGTTATTAATAAATCATACCTAAAAATGACATTTTGTCATAACTTTCCCACCTTTTAACCTTGAGGTAGTCTGAATAAGCCACCTTAAGTAAAGATGACCATTCTGCTTTCTGTCTTCCTTGCGTTATCTCGATGGCGATCTCTTGGTAGGATTTCTGGCTTACTTCTGCGCCTCTCCTTCAATCCGTTTGAGGTAACTGATTATTCAAAATAAGGCATGAGAGTATTCTGTTCTTAAAACTTCAATTTCACTTAGTGAATCACTAATGCTATTTGCTGTGTTTGCAAGCCCGTGCCTTGTGTAAAAAAATGCATTATAGCTTTTGGATTTCTTTGCATGTAGTAATTGGTGTGGTTTATTTTAAATACCGTAGCATAATTGATTTTAGTGTGTGGTATAGGGAAAGAAAACAGGCGGCTTATCCAGAAACTGCTGAGTGTGATTTTCCAAGTAACCACAGGCAATTTACTTAATTTCTGTGTTATTTGCTTCACATATAAATCAGGGTAATGTGCCTGTTGGTAAGAACATATATAAAAGCACAGTGCTTGCTCCTATCCCATGATAGTCCTATAAACATTCGTGTCATGTATCTATCTCACTTCAAGTAAAAATTTTAATTTGCCACTATTAAGTTAAATTGAGAGTAAATAGTATTCAGTTCTCAATTGGGCTCTTTGAATTATTGTGAGCTAAAATAACAACACAGTGGAAAGAACTGTTCCAGTTAAGAGGGGACTGTAGAGTTGTGGTGGTGGAGCAGTGGCAAACGAGGCTGCTTTGATGCTTTTTTTTTTTTTCCTTGTGGAACTGAGGATTGAACTCAGGCCTTTGCACTTGCCAGGGAAGCGCTTATTCCACCGAGCCATCTCTCCAGCCCCTCAATGTGATTATGTGGAGAAAAACTAGAAATTAGATTTCAGCTTTGAATAAATGTTTTAAAACACAGACATAGTTTAGGTCATTGTTTTACTAAAGATGTTGCAAAAGCGCTGGCGCTGCAGCTCTGCAGCACAGCACCTGCCTGGCAAATGCACAGTCCTGAGTTCAATTCCAGGCACCCCCCCCCAAAAAAAAAAAAGAAAAGACAGAAGAAAATTGTTTCTCCTCCCTACTTCTGTGCTTACACATGGTTTGTAATCCCGGTACGTGTGAGACACCTTGCTGCGTGCTGTGGCTATGGGGAGGCCCTGGTTTTATTTTCACTTCCTGCCTACTACTTCATACCCAATATGAAAGCTCTGCAGCCCCTCCGTATTATTTTATCCTTACCCACGCGTTGCGCTGCATGCTTGGCTTGCATCGATATCCAGCGTCCCTACCTACCCTTTACTTAACTTCTTTTTTTTTTTTTTTTTTTTTGTGGAACCTGGGATTGAGCTCAGGCCCTTGTGCTTGCCAGGCAAGCACTTATTCTACTGAGCTATCTCCCTGGCCCCCCTTTACTTAACTTCTATTCAGTGCATTTACAGGGTAGATGCTGGGAATGCAGCATGGAAAAAGAGCCCCTGCCTGCTCGGCTGCTGTCGGAGCACAGCTGATGCCTGCTCCCTGGTTGAAAATGTCATCCCATCTTTTTTTTTTTTTTTTTTTTTTTTTTTTTTTTTTCCATCCCATCTTTTGTTGCTAGGAGATAACCAGCACCCTCCATTACTGAATTAAACATTACCAAACAAAAGATTTTTAGCTTAAAAATGCCATGAATGTAATCCTTTAGTTCTTTAGTTTTCTTTTTGTGGTTTATTGGTTTTAATTATATATTTAGCACCTTAAAGTCTTCCCTCCATCCCCAAAGGCACAAAGCAGAGTTTAAAAATCATCTAAGTTACTACTGCAAGACACAAATTCCACAACTGAAATTGATTTTGGAATTATCTTTGCATGTTAGTGATGTGAAGATTCTTTTAACAGATCTCAGACGTGAGACGGCCTTCCCCACTATAGTACACACAGGAATGTTAGAGATGCCGTCCCAGACTTTTATCTTACTCATTGCAGTAGTCATTAAATATGCTGAGCCCAGCACACAGTTAGGGCCAGTCTGTCTCAAGTTGCAGTGTTTATTGTAAAATTGTAAATAAATAAAGTTGTTAGGGCCAGCCAAATAACTCAGCGGATTAAAGTACCAGCAAGCAGGCGCAGGGGCCAGGGGTTCCATCCTTGGGCCTGCCGTGCTGACCCAACCCCCAGGGTGTGGCCTTGTGGCACACACCTGTAATCCCAGTATTTGGGAAGCTGTAAACAGGCGGATCACTAGAGTCTGACCTAGTAGTGAGACCCTGAACACCGTGTAAACCATTCCTTAAAAAAAATAAAATAATAATAATAATAATAATAATAAAGTTGTTGAAATTAGTTTCATCTCTGGACACATCAGAAAATGATACCATCTTAAAAAAAAAAAAATAATAATAATAATAATAATAATAAAGTTGTTGAAATTAGTTTCATCTCTGGACACATCAGAAAATGATACCATCATAGAAAAATCACTGACCTGGGAGTAAATTGAAACTAACGTAGAAAGGCGGCTATGCTCCCCACTGTACCACCAATGCAGAATGAAACTAAAATAGGAAGTAGGTCAAGTTTAAGAAGAAACTACAAGAAAGCTACTAGTAAGACGAGAATTATTTTAAAATTTTATAATATGCAGTTTATAAAAGATATCTTTTAACACCGGGCATGGTGATGCATGCACATAATCCCAGCACTTGGGAGGTTGAAGCAGTAATATTGCCATAAGTTTGAGGGCAGCCTGGGTTGCATACTGAGTTTCAGACTAGCTTGGACTACACAGTGAAACTCTGTCTCAAAAAAAAAAAA